AAGTTTTCCTGTCACCAGATAGACAAAACAGTATTCAACAATTAGTTAAGGAAATCAGGGTTCATAATAGGGTGCCCCGAGCTGAATATCAAAATTGTTAGGCAAGATGATCTCATGTATATCTATTATTCCTTGGGCCCGGCTCCACACTAGATCCCTCCAGTGGTTCCTGCTCCCGTACCAGCGCTCTGGCTGAAGCAATTCCAAATACAAGGTCAAGGTACCATCAAAGGTCCTCATATCTCTCCACTGGTGGACCAAACCAGTCATCAACAGAGGTTGTCTCTTCAAAGAGCTCCACAGACTTACCATCACCACCAATGCCAGCCTGTTTGGATGGGGAGCTCACTTTCAATCACTCACAGCCCAAGGCCACTAGTCCTCCATAGAACAGTCATGCAACATAAACTGGCTGGAGCTTCGAGCAGTACACCTGGCTCTCCGCAGCTTCCTTCCACAGGTACACAATCAATACATACTAATATTGACTGACAATGTAACAGCAAAAGCTTACATAAACAAACAGGGGCACACAGTCGAAACACCTTATGCGGGAAGTGGAGCGCTTGTGTCATTGGGCGGAGAGCAACCTGCTTTCCATCAGAGCAGAGCACATTTTGGGCCTGTCAAATACACAGGCAGACTGGCTAAGCAGGGCCATGATTGATCAATCGGAGTGGCGCCTCCATCTGACCCTGTTTCAAGAGGCGGTCAGGACATTCGGGCAGCCGGTGGTAGACTTGTTCGCTTCCCCGCTCAACTCTCAGCTCCCCAGATTCATTTCCACGTACCCCTCGCAAGGAGCGGAGAACTTCAACGCGCTCCGCTGCCGTTGGCCCCAGGGTTTTCTGTACACATTCCCACCATTTCCACTGATCCCCAAGGTCATCCAGAAGCTGCTGGACGAGAGGGCGGAGCTGCTGCTAATAGATCCTTACTGGCCAGGACAGCCATGGTTTGCAGACCTCCGCAGTCTATCCTTATCAATACTATGGAGCATTCCGCTGGACAGGGTTTGGCTAATCCAGGTACCCCTTCAACAACTGGACCCTCAATGGTTGCAGCTGACCATCTGGAGGTTGAGTGGAGATGTCTGATGAGCGAAAAGCTTTCCAACAGGGTTATCGCCACCATCCAAGCTGCCAGATGCCCCTCAACAATCCGCATTTACAATGCCAAGTGGTCCCGTTTCTGCAAATGGTGTACTAAGTCTCACATTGATCCCATCTATCCATCAGTGGCTCAAATCCTAGAGTTTTTACAAGAGGGGTTTGACAAGGGATTATCACCTAATACGTTGAAAAGGCAGGTGGCGGCCTTGGCATCAGTTGTCACTTGTGAGGGTCTACTGTTTCTTTCTCATCACCCACACATACAGAGTTTCCTTCGAGGAGCCACAAATTTACACCCGCCAGCGGTTCACCTTTATCCCACTTGGGACCTTAACAAGGTCCTCATTGCACTCACTAAGTATCCTTTCAAACCTTTGAAATCATCAAGTCTCCAATTTCTGATGTATAAAGTAGTTTTCCTTGTAGCAATCACTTCCGCTCGTGGTATTTCAGAACTGGCAGCTTTGTCAATCAGACAAGACCTTTTCCTCTTCCATTCTGACCGGGTGGTCCTTCGTCCTGATCCTACGTTTATACCCAAAATTATTTCGGCTTTTCACAGGGCACAAGAGCTGATACTTCCTAATTTCTGTCCCCGGCCACCTCAAGGGTTGGAACTACAATGGCATCGGCTTGATGTGAGATGAGCATTGTGCATATATATTCACCACACAGTGACTTTCAGAAAAATGGAAGCTTTATTTGTGTCATTTCAGCCCAACACTCAGGGATGCAAGACCTCATCTTCCACAATAGGCCATTGGATACAGGCTGTGATAGCAAAAACGTATCAGACTCAGTCACTACAGGTGCCCAGGGGCATAACAGCTCATTCAACAAGGAGAGCCGCAACATCAGCAGCGTGGGCCACGCAGGCACCAATAACTGAAATTTGTCGAGCCGCAACCTGGGCCTCTCCATCGCCCTTCATTAGGCATTATAAAATAGATGTGTTTGCATCTGCTGAGGCGTCCTTTGGCAGAAGAGTTCTGCAACGGGTCCACAGGGACCAGGAGGGGAGTCCAAACCAGACGGAGTCCCTCCTGTAGGACAGGCCAAGCTTTGGTATGTCCCACTACTGGATGCTCTGAACAACTCATACGCCCGTTCTCTTTGAGCTGTGAAGAGCATCCAGCCCCACCCTTTTTCTGTCTGGTGAGGTCCTGTTTCAGCCAATGAATTGTTAGGGCATTGAGGTCGAAGGTGTTTATTTGTCTCATCTTCCCCAAAACTGGTTAACGCTGGGGAGGAGTCCCGTGGAGGAGGAGGAGCGTTCTACAAATTAAGCCCAGCCTAGACAAGCAGAGATTGAAGCACCTCCCACTACTGGAAGCTCTTCACAGCTCAAAGAGAATGGGCGTGTCAGGTAAGTACCAACACCCTTTCTCTCTGTTGCCTGCTTCAGTTTGTGGCAAAGTATTGTGGGGTTTCTAAATCTCTTACAAATATTATTTTGATTATTATTTATCTGTAGAGCAGCACCTGGCCACTTCTAGAAATGTTAAATAGGAAATTAGAGAATATGCTCTGTGTATTTCTTTATATGCCATGTGTGGTAACAAAAATGCTACTTTAGTACTTGAGAAGTGTATGCCCAAGGGAAGTGAAAGAAGAAGGAATCATGTTTTAAATTTCAATATACTTGCAACATTAATTTTCTGCATTTGTATCTGATTTCCTGTATGAATTAATATGTTGTCATTAAGATACCATTCTGTATGTTGCAATCATTATTACCTTTTCTAAACTACAATGGATGTATAAGATGAATCTTCAAGTACTTGCATTGTAATCTTAGCTAATTCTAGCAATATGAGCATAGCGCTCTTTGGGGGGAGCACTAAACACCTGCCCCAAAACAGTCTAGCTAATGTCAGAAGGATGAAGGGAGGCTTAATAAAAGCACCAGGGTCACTCCCTATCACTTCACCCACCACCTCTCCTCTGCATCATAACAACCCCAAATGTTTTTGGAGTTGTCCAAGAGACGAAAGAGCTAGGCTCTGGCCTCCAAAGAGCAGGCTCTTTCAACAGACAACTTTGTGTTATTCTGGTAAATTGTTCTTTTGTCCTGAAGCACGGACATATGGATGGAATACTGCAATTATTTACATTAACAGGAATATCTCCATGCAGCTGAATGTACTACTTATTCTGAGGTTTGCTGTGAGTGCCAGTGTCTGCCCCAGTAAAAACCACTATCATGTCAAAACCTTTGCCACCCAAAGCAACAGAACATTTACAGTACCCTCACCGGGTACACAGCAATTAGAACTCAGATCTGTTTCCTGGCATCAGTCATTCCAGTGCAGCACAATACTTGAACAATCTTTAAACCCTTGTTCAAAAAACACATCTAGCACATCTGAAGAGATTTTAGATTTTAGAAGAGATTTCCGGTAGGCCTTGATTGATTACCACAATGGAGCCCAACATTTCCATAGCTAAGCAAGACAGGGGTTAAATTAATTTGGCCTCATTTTATGACCTTTTCGCCATAGTTGTTAAGCGGATCACTGCAGTTGTGAGTCATACGGTCATCAAGCAAATCTGGCTTTCCCCATTGACTTTGCTTGTCAAAAGCTGGCTGGGAGGGTTACCAATGGTGATCACATGACCACGGGACAATGCAACTGTCATAATTACATGCCAGTTGCCAAGTGCGTGAATTCTGATCACACAACCATGGGGATTCTTGTAGTGGTCATAAGTGTAAAACATAGCTATAAGTCACTTTTTCAGTGCTGTTGTAACTTTGAATGGTTACTAAACTCATGGTTGTAAGTCGAGGATTACCTGTGTATAAGATCTGACAAATGCTAAGAAAAGTGCTATCTGGAACTCACATGAATAGATTCCAGTATGGAAGGTGATGACTGGTCATTGCTGCAGCTCAAGCCAACATGGCTATGGAGTTCAGTGCCCAGTAACTAGAGGAAAAGTCTTTCCCATAGCAGATTAAAGGGGTGCATAAGAAATGTGTGTATTGCAGCCTCAAGCACTGTCAATTGTGTCCTAGATTGTGGCCATGACCCAAATTCTGTGTGGTGGAAGAAAGACTCCTTGTGAGGTTTCTTCCTCTGTAGACTGGGGATGAGACAATGGCAATGCCATGAAGACATGTCACATAAAGTCCATTTGTGGGGCTTCTTTATGCAGAAGGACATGTAGATAGTAGATTGACATCTTACAGCAGGGGTGGGAAACTATGGCCCCTTTATGACTTATAGATTTCAATTCCCAGAATTTGTCAGCTGGTCATGTTGGGGAATTCTGTGAGTTGAAGTCCGCAAGTCTTAAAGTTGCCAAGTTTGGAGAGCCCTGTCTTATAGGGATGGTGATGCTATCCAGATTTATTTGTCATAAATCTGGAAATTGTTACATCAATGAAAAACATCTCCAAGTATACATTAAGAATTCTATGGCAGGAAAAATAATTCAGATAATTGAGCAATTAAAATATGATGAGTGGCAAAAAGATTCAACTTCCTTCAGTTCATATGCCTCTTACATCTGCTCTTCTGTTTTTCTTCTCAATGTTTGTTTTCTCTAGAAATTGGTTTCCTTTTATTGCTTACTTTGCAAGTGCAGCATAACTATCTTCACATAAAACTAATACTTCAGTTCTGATGAAAGTGTAACTTGCCAGCAAAATTTAGGAAACCCCATGGACTGAAAAATTAATGGAGAACATTGAGACTGTTGAACTTGTGAATTATTTTTTTCCCTATGTCTTTATAGAGATTTTGCACTTATAAATATCAGACTAATTCTCCCAAATACGGGGCAAGTAGAAACTATAGCCTGGTTACTGTAATGGAGAAAGGACATGATGAAACTGTTAATGGGTATAATTGTTGCATTATATGTTATATGTTTTCTTTGCAGTGCTCATTTTTGCCCAAGTTCTCCATTCACATAGAGACCAAATATGAGGACAACAAAGGAAGCAATGATAATGTAAGTATTCTCTCCTTTCAATAATTGAATGTAAAATACATTTAAAAGGTGGGGCAGATAGCTCAGAAGTTGTCAGGGTGTTAGGCACAAAAAAACAAGTCCACACGTGAAGGTTCTAGATTATTGGTTTATTGTTAAAGCCTACGCACAGAAATATTTTCAGACTAACGGCTTGCACCTGGACTACATAAGGATCAACTGCTCAAGAGGGGTTGGACTTTGTACTTTTGTGGCTATCTAATGATTCTAAACTGATACTTCATTTAACTCCTCCTCTTGGCTCTGCCAGTATCTTTTCTGCACAAAGGGAGATTGTGCATGGCAGCACCATGTTAGGATACCACTTATATGTAATTTAAATATTTACATTAAAAACCTTTTAAGCTTGAATATTCCTGTTTCATAGATTGTTACCATAGATAGGTAATACTTTTTATGAGGGTAACAATTTCTAGGAATAATTATCTTTCTTTTTTTATACCAAAACTGTATGGATGAACTGCCAGTATGTTAGTCCATGAATGATATGTGGGTAGCTAATATATTCTCCCCACCCAATTCTTGGTAATTATATTCATAGGCTGTTTTGTAGGTCCTAGGTTGGGCTTCTTATTGTTCCTATTGAATAATATAATATAAAAATCCTGTCAGGAATTTTTATCCTACTCCCAAAAGTCATCAACCAAAGGAGAACAGAACCTAGTCAAAAATGCCAAATGGTAGGCAAAGAAGCATATTCTGGGGTTTCAGGTGCTATAAAATATCTGATCGTGAACAAAATTCTTGAGTAGAATTGTAGTTTTTAAGGTATTTGGACCTCTGCATGGGTGTTTCCTTACAGTTCAGCCAATTTCTCCAACCAGTTCTTAACTTTTTTTCTCATATTTGAAGGGCAGAAATATGGCATTTGATGGCATGCAAGTAGAATCCAGGTGGGAAGAAATAAAATATACTCACATTACTTAATTTTGCACTAAACTGGTAAGAGCTACAGGCTTAAAGTACTAAGGCATTGTTGGCTAAACAGTCATAATGCCTTGGGCAAACCCAAAGGATCTCCAGTTTTTTAGAGATCAAGAGTAGAATGGTGGCAGATGTGACAGATCAGGGCCTGGGAAGGACATGTTTGAAGTAGCCTGAAATGACCAATTAACACCCTCTAATCTCACCCACTGCTGGTCACCAGATTTTGCTTCTGGGGTAATAAGGGTGAAGCATAACAGATTTCATTCATCTTGAGGTTGTATATAAATGTTCTCAGCTTAAGGGAAAACACTCCTTTAACATCAATACAGCTAAAGACAATTATTGCAAGAAAGAGGACATGTCTATGTTTATACCTGAAACCTGCAATAACCTACTCTATGGGGTACAATAGACAGAGATATGGTAGCTTTAGAACCCGGCATTAGGATATGAATTACTGTCTCCCATTCTCTCTTTTTTTTTTGGTATAAACTTTTTTATTTTATTTTACAAACATTCCATCTTTTCTTTATACAGCGTGTCGTCTGGGTACAAATGTCTTGTGCATAATATTTGTGGTTAATACAATTCTCCCATGAGCTGTTCAGAGCATCCAGAAGTGGGAGGTGCTTCAGTCTCTTCTGGAAAGGCTGGGCTTAAAACTCCGGGACGCTCCTCCTCCTCCATGGGACACCTCCTCAGCGTCCCCCAGTTTTAGCTCAGCCTTCGTGGTAAGAGGATGTGCACTCCCTGACTGGAATGGTTTCTGATTCAGCTAGTCAAGATTCAGGTTTGCTCTTGGGTTAATTCGGCTTGCAAATTTCCCCCCTATTAATCTGGTGATTTCAAGGCTTGTGGCTCTATTAGGTTATCCCCCCGATCAGTTGAGAACAGCTCTTCGTGACTGACAGAGTCTGCCACTTCGCAGGCAGTCTGAGATGGCCGCTTCAGGCAATTAGCCTATCTAATTCCCCAATCATCTTATCTTTGTGATCTTGGCAGAACGCTCGCAGCCGCGGCTCACTTCTCCTTACAGGATCATTTGTCTGACATTTTAGAGTGTCAGCAGCAGCGGCTCGTTAAACTGCTCAGGCATTTAACCTAGGAGATTCTGCCTTCCCGCCATTTTAAACGGCTGGCTTCAAGTTCGGGCTTCCATAGACGAAATCTGAAGAGCGGTGACTTGGGCTTCACCATCACCCTTTGTCAGAAATTATAAAGTTGATGTCTATGCCTCAGCGGACGCTTCATTTGGCAGAAGAGTCCTGCAGAGGGTCCACAGAGTTTAGGAGTGGATTTCGATCCAGACGGAGTCTCTCCCTAAGGACAGGCCAAGCTTTGGTATGTCCCACTTCTGGATGCTCTGAACAGCTCATGGGAGAAAGGGTGTTGGTACATACCTGATATGCCTGTTCTCTGTGAGCTGTGAAGGCCATCCAGCCGCACCCATTTCTTTCCATCTGGTGGGGTTTCGTTCCGGTCAGGGATCCAGATTAGGTGATGAGTTCCAGACTTTGGCACTCAGTCTTCACAAAACTGGGGGACGCTGAGGAGATATCCCGTGGAGGAGCAGGAGTGTCCCGGAGTTTTAAGCCCAGCCTTTCCAGAAGAGACTGAAGCACCTCCCACTTCTGGATGCTCTTCACAGCTCATACAGAATGGGCATATCAGGTAAAAACCAACACGCTTTTTCTTACCATAACAACAGTTACATTACATTCTTATTTTGAACTAATATACATAATATATCTTATCATTGTAACCTTCCCCTTTTTAATTTCTTCCTCTCTATATTCATATATTAGATAGATAGATAGATAGATAGATAGATAGATAGATAGATAGATAGATAGATAGA